TTGATTATTTTCATTTGTCGAATGTTTAATTTTTGGTATGGGAAGTTCCAGCAATTTGCCCTAAGGCACGATGCCTGCGCCCCACTAGTTATTATAATTATTAATATTATATTACACATATGTTTATTAATATGTGGATGAAGATTGTACTTCAAGTTTCCGGGATATTGTTATATAAACCATATGTTTGATATATAACTGATGTAACACGTATATATAATACAAGTATTAATACGTTTCTGGCATCTGGCTAGATCGTACAAATCTCAACTTTCACTGCGAAATTCCATCGGTAGTTATTGACCTACAATCATTCTCGTTATGACGATATGACTTCACTTTATTCTAAATATATCCGAAACTGTTGATTAGATAATAAAAATAAACCGGGTGTAAGTGGAACTTTTCCCTTTAGGCAAGTTGTATGAGTTTCCAGATACATACGTATACATGATCAACTTTAACAATAAAATTGAAAAGTATTCTCGTAAATTAGAAAATTTTCTCGTACTTCAGAAAAAATGGTGTATATGTGCATTTTATAGCATTTAATATACCTCGAACACTTCATTACAGTACGGGAAGTTCCAGCAATTTGCCATGAGACACGATGCCATGCACCACTAGTTAACTTCGCGAAGGAGAAGTTTATGTTTTCATAAAAAAAATCCGATTCGCTAATTTTATGTTTTCTCGACGTTTCAAGCCAATCTGAATCGATTGGGACCAAATGTGGAAAAAGAATGTGTCTGTGAACAGATTTTTTGCCATGAATTGACTTTTCCTCAAAAACGGCTGGACCGATTTCAAAAATTTAAAAGCCATTCGATGTATCTCGATGAGGACTAGCGTTTATCAAATCTGTGCGTTCTTCGTAAATAGCAGGAAAGTGAAAAAGTTTTCGTCCACGTTTTAGCCCGCAATTCTGAATCGATTTTGAAAATTCAAAAACCGTTCGAAAGGTATTGGTTGGGAATCGTACTGATTAGTTTTTGGTAGAGATCGACCGGGCCGTTTTTTTGTAATAAAGTGTTAAAAAAATTTATTCGACAATTCTCATAATTTTTTTTCGGTGATAAGTATCATGGTCTTCTAGATCATACTAAAATATTACGGCCCTATGACAAGTCATTTAATTTTGAAAATTCGTCAAAGTTTGCAAAAATTAGTATCATTTCTTGGCATTTGCCAATATTAGACCTTTCATCGACGTTTTCTCAAAAACCCCTGAACCGATTTCAGAAATTTAAAAATCATTTGATGTATCTCAATGAGGATTATCGTTAGACAGTTTTGTGCGACGATCTGCCAAGCCATTTCTTTGCAATTTGAATAAAAAGTGTTAAACTTTTCATCCACATTTAAGCACATACTACCGAATCGATTTAAAAAAATCAAAAACTGTTCGAAAGATTTTAATTGGGAATGATACTGATTAGTTTTAGGTGAAAACCTACCGAGCCGTTTTCTTGTAATTAACTGTTGAAAAAAAATTTAAGCCGATTTTTATGGAACTTTTTTTAGCGATATATATGATGATCTTATAGAACTTACTGAAATATTACGGTCTTACGACAAGTTGTATTTTTAAAAATTCTTCAAAGTTTGAGAAAATAAGTAGTTTTTTTTTTGACGTTTGTTAAAATTAAAATTAGAGGATTTACTTGATATAACGATAGAGTACTTAGTCTTAATGAACATACTAAACCATTAAAGTCCTACGAAAACTGGTTCAATTATAAAAATTATTGATTTGTGAAAATTTCCTTTTAGAAAATACTCCGTGTTAACGTGCTCGTTCGTTTTCATTTATGTGTAATGAATCCACTCGGAATACTTTTAATCACTCATAAATTAATTTATATTTTATTGATTAAGTCGATTATTTACACAAATCGGAAAATACATATAACTTGCCTCAAGGGAAAATACCAATATCAACAAGTTTTACTATTTTTTTCTGCTGGCGCTTAGGAAACATCTACTTCAGAACGTTTTTGCTTTTTAAACAAATATTTATTTAAACAATTTAACATAAAATATATTTGTTGGATAACAGTTTAGCCCTGAGCGTAAAATATCCGTATTTGCTTTGCTTTTTAGCAGACATTATATTATACATGAATTATATAAGGCCTAGTGCTTTTATTCAAGGATTGCATTGTGCTTAAAATACATATTTGGAATTGTGATTAAATATTGAGCAGATCCATTAGAAATGAGAAACTCTATGATAAAAAGTAACTAGTGGTGTATGGCATCGTCCCTTAGGGCAAATTACAAGTGCTTCCCGTACCGTAATGAAATATTCGAGAAATTTTAAACGTTTTCAAATATATTATTACAAATACTGTAACTTTTATTATTTTTGCTATCTTGTTATATCTGAGCAAATCAAATGTAAATCATAAATCAATTTATCTCCAGAACATTGACAATCGTCATTTCATTTCGAATTCAATTTAAAAAAAAATAGTTGCCTAATTTACACAAAATTGAAAAAGTGCTCCCGTATAGTCACAGTCTAATGATTATATATAATTTTCAAATAATTCTGTACGACATTTTCACTTACACTGTGCTTAGCTTGGCGGCATTTTCACATTTTTCAATACTTTTCACAAAATTGGTAAAGTGCTCCATCACAGACTAAACGCACTTGGGTAAACATTTGTACTACAGTGGCGCTTAGACTGTGCTTAGCCTGGGTAATTTTTTGAATTTTCAATCCAAAATTACAACAATATTTTATGGAAAATAAAAAAAATGTAATAATTTTTTATCCTCTAAAGCAATTGTTTTGTCAATACAAGCAGAAAGTTTTTTAGATCATTCAAATCGGACGCTTAGTTCTTTCAAAAACTGCCATTTTTTTCACATTTAGCTCTGTATCTTCAAATTGGCTGGACCTGCCTTTGCTAAGAACTAATCACCACTTCTCCCAATTATTACAAATTGAATATTTTTTAGATCATTCAAATCCGATACTCCGTTCTCTCAGAAACTCGATTTGTATTTTCTGCACTCTTTGCTCCGTGTCTCCGTAACGGCTGGATCTGCCTTTGCCAAAAACTAACATTTCTCTATCAACAAATAGAAAGACAAACCAAGAAACTTTGGTCGTAGTGTGGACTATCTTAAAGTTAATATGAAGAGCTAAAACTTTCAGACAATTTTTTTTATTATTAATTTGGAATCGTTTGAGCCTTCGGGTGCTCAGAAATTGAGAAATATCTATATTAAGTACCACCTTAATGTATATATATATATATATATATATATATATATATATACATATATACTATATATAAAATTCTTCTGTAGGGTTGTATGATTTGATACTTCTCCTAAACGGTTATTCTGATTTTGATAATTATTTCTAGAGTTTGTCCAAGAAAATGTTTAAAATGTAATGAATGCAGAAACTATAGTAATAATGTAGAAATAAATGACAAAAATTACAGAAAACCACTTATCATTGTTTGACATTGAAAACATTTGAACTGTCATCTGCTAGAAATGCCAATTCACTTGAAATTTGAATTTATCTGAAATTATGAGCCTAGATAATATTAGAATTTAACATAGAAGAAAAATGTTATGTCTATATCATTATTGCCGAAAAGCAGCTGAGATGTGCCAGAAATTAAAATAATGTAAGATACAGTCAGCAATATATGTGTTTGGCAGATGAAATTATATAATTCATTTTAATAAATATCGGAACGAGTCCAAAATTGCATATACATTATTTGTTTAAACTTACGCATGTTGTATTTACTTTACTTAATTATTTAACAATGCAAAAAAATATTTCTACTTATTAAAAAAATTATTTAGAATTTTGTTTCATGTGTCAAAAATTCATTTGTTTGGCATTAGATATGAAATACTTAGCAAGTTGATCTTAGATTGGAGAACTAGATTTTACAAATTAATTCACCTAAGATTTGAACACAAACAATTGTCTTTATTAAATTATTTGTAAGAAAAATGTACTTTAGAAATCATTATTGCCAAAAAGCGACTAATATATCGTACGAGATTATGAAAATTATAGACTAAATTATTGAAGCAATTGTGTTGTGTGGTAAAATCAAGTGTGATATTGTTCTTTTACCGCAGATACTATATTATTTTATTTTGAATTTCTTATACTGCTTATGTTAAGACCATAAATGAATCATAAAGGCAGGACATCAAATAGGATATTAAAAAGTTTAGGATAGGATATTAAAAAATTTGGAACTTTTGAATTGTAGACGTGGGTACAGGGCAACGTCTGTCGGGACATCTAGTATATATATATCTATATATATATATATATATATATATATATATATATATATATATACGAGGTGTGTTCAAAAAGTACCCGGAATTACTAATAATTCAATTTCGCGGGTCTGGAGTGTCTGATTGTCAAAATTTTTTTTTTATTGTGTTGGTACACATGCCCCTAAAGTATGATGAAATTTTCAGCTATATTCACTGTTTACTTTGTCTGTGGTAGTCGCTAAGGTTCGACGTGTTTTTCTGAGCTCGGCGATTTTTACAATGGAAGAATTGAAAAGTCAAAGAATTTGTATTAAATTTTGCGTAAAAAATGAAATAAAGTGTTGCAAAGTGCAAAAATTCACCAGATATGGCTCCGTGTGACTTTTTCCTATTCCCAAAGTTGAAGAGACCCATGAAAGGACGGCGGTTTTCCTCGATTGAAGAAATAAAGGCCGAATCGCTGAGAGTGCTCAAGGACATATCAAAAAGTGAATATCAAGGGTGCTTCGAAAATTGGAAAAAACGCTGGCATAAGTGTATTATATCTGGGGGGGACTACTTTGAAGGGGACCACATTAATGTAGACGAATAAATAAATATTTTTTTGAAAAAACGAAAATTCCGGGTACTTTTTGAACAGACCTCGTATATACGAGTATATATATATATATATATATATATATATATATATATATATTATAAATTCTTTATGAATTACTCACCTGCAGTGTTATTATTATCCATTTTTAAAATCGCTCAATGAACTTCAACGAATAATTTGTTTATGAAATAATATCACGTCTGTTGCGTCGTTTGAACTTTTATCGAATGTTTTTAATTCGAACACATCATTTTCACAAAACAACACATCACTACTGATTTTAATCACTGATACTAATCCATTTTTCAACACAATCAGCATTCGAAACAATTTAGTATGAGGTGATATGGAACCCTGAAAAAAGAAATAAATTGTATACTTGAATTAGGAAAAATTAAATTTTAATTAGTAAAGAAATATTCGGTTAGTTTTTTGAATTATTAACTTCCCGTAGGGTAAGTTATTGTAATGGGCCGAAAATTGGAATTGAAATTTTTTACATTTCTCGACGTTTTGAAGGTTTCTGAACATTTTGGCATACCACAGAAAAAATGGATGTGTGTGTGTGTGTGTGTGTGTGTGTATGTGTGTGTGTGTGTATGTATGTATGGATACAAATTTCCAGTCACGTTTTCGGGCGCACGGATCAACCGATTTGAATGGTTCAAAAAACATTCGATTCCTATTGATAGGGAGAAGAGCTAATTAGTTTTTGGCAAAGGCCGGTCCAGCCGTTTCGGAGATGCATAGCAAAGAGTGCAGAAAATAGAAATCGACTTTTTGAGAGAACGGAGTATCCGATTTGAATGATCTAAAAAACATTCAATTAGTAATGATTGGGAGAAGTGTTTATCAGTTTTTGGCAAAGGCAGGCCCAGCCATTTCGAAGATACGGAGCTAAATATGTAAAAAATGGTAGTTTTTGAGAGAATTAAGCGTCCGATTTGATTGGTTCAAAGAACTTTCTGCTTGTCTTAACAAAATAAATGATTTTGAAAAAAAAATTTTTTGTTACAATTTTTTTTTTTTTTTTTTAATTTTTTGTATATCGAAAATATTTCAGATTTTATTTTTAATTCTGACTATAGTTCTAATATACTTTGAACAAATAATTTCAACTTTGCAATTCAGTTCATATAATTCTCATAAATATTAGACAATGTTACAATATTTATAATAATCTATTTGAAAGCATTTAATATTCCTCGAACATTTCGCTACGGTACGGGAAGTTCCAGCAATTTGCCTTAAGGCACGATGCCACCCACCCCACTAGTGTTTTTTAGGTTTTACAATTTTTGAGATATTTTTCGATGCTTATATTAGATTCCCTTTGAGATATGCAAATATAATTTCTTGAGATATTTTCATCTTTAGGGATATAGAGTCACCAAAAATGACAAAAATTTATTCATCACAAAATAGTTCTTTTATTTTGTGATGGATAAATTTATGTCATTTTTGGTGACTAGTTTCATTAATTAAGAGATTTACTTTGAGATAATTATTAGTTTGATATAAGAACTATCTTGAGATTTTGAAATCTAAAACTATTTTGAGATTGACAATAAATAGGAAAAATTTTGAGACAGGCTATTATTTGGGATATAAAATATTTTGAGTCAGACAATAATTCACTTAATGTACAATTTTGACTTAATATTTTGAGATTGATAAAAATTAGTATTATTCAATAATTTCATAAAATGTTATATTATCATTGAAAATAACCCTATTTTTGGAAATGTACTATTTATATAGTTGCAATATTTTTAGAAATGCGGTATTTATATAAAAGCAATATTTACAAAGATATAATATTTATATAGATGCAATTTTTTAAGAGATGCAATGCATATGCAAAACAATATTTTTACAGATGCAATATTTACAGATATGCAATATTGCATTAGATTATTTGCATATGCAAAAGCATTATTTGATAATGAGCAATATTTTTATTAACGTACTATTTCTATGAAAGATTTAATTTTGGAGGAACAATAGTTTTATAGAATTATTTCATATTATTTTCATAAAAGTAATATTTTTAACTTCCCGTAGGGTAAGTTACTCGTATTGTAATGGACCGAAAATCGAAATTTAAAATGTTTACATTTCTCGACGTTTTGAAGGTTTCTGAACATTTTGGCATACCTCAGAGAAAATGGATGTGTATGCGTATGTATGTATGGATACAATTTTCCAATCACGTTTTCGGGCGCACGGATCAACCGATTTGAATGGTTTAAAAAACATTCGATTCCTATTGATAAGGAGATGTGCTGATTAGTTTTTGGCAAAAACAGGTCCAGCAGTTACGGAGATAAAGAGCAAAGAGTGCAGAAAATAGAAATCGAGTTTTTGAGAGAACGGAGCATCCGATTTGAATGATCTAAAAAACATTCAATTTGTAATGATCGGAAGAAGAGGTGATTAGTTTTTGGCAGAAATAGGTCAAGCCGTTTCGGAGTTACGGAGCTAAATATGCAAAAATGGCACTTTTTAAGAGAACTAAGCATCCGATTTGAATGATTCAAAAACTTTCTGCTTGCATTGACGAAACGATTGCTTTTGGAGAAAAAAAATTGTTTCATTTTTTTTATAATTTCCAAATATTTTTTATGACTAAATTTGATTCTCGAATATTTCATTATGGTACGGAAAGTTCCAGCAATTTGCCTTAAGACACGATGCCACTCACCACTAGTTTTATATATTATTTTAGTTAATACAGTATACGACAACGAACATATTAAGATAAGTAATATTTTAAGATATTTTGAGATAAGCATTGTGTCTCGATAAACATTATTTTTAAGATTTGAACTAATCTTTCATTTAGATAACTCGATTATTAGTAATATTTTTTTTGCATGATATCTCTTATTTGTTTCATCAATATTATGAAATGATAAATTTTTACAGATTTTTAGCCTATATTAGATTTTGTGAACAAATATAGAGAACATATATGAACAAAAGCCGAAAATGTTTTTTTTTTCATTTTTCACGATTCGAAGATCTTAGAATATTTCGGCATACATTAGAAAAAATTGATGTGTGTGTGTGTGCGTGCGAATACAAATTTTCGTCGACGATTTAAATAATTAAATAATTTAAAAAGCATCTGATTCGTATTGATAAGGAGACGTGCTAATTAGTTTTTGGCAAAGACAAGTCTTGCTGTTTCGAAGACACGGGGCAAAAAGTGCAAAAAATGACAATTCAGCTTTTGAAAATTTTGAAAGAACATCAAAATTTAACAAAAAAATTGATTTCTTACAAAAACTTGAGAATATTTCGAGATTTAAAAAAAAACGGATATCTTCAAAAATATTCAAATTCTCAAAAAATTGAAAAAAATCGTTTTTTTCCAAGAATTCAAAAAAATTTCGAACATTCTATGAATTTTCAAAACTTTGAAAACAATTAAAAAATATCAAGAAATCAAATTAAAAAAAAAATATAAGGTATGCCAAAGTGTTCAGAAGCCTTTGAAACGTAAAGATATGCAAAAAGTTTCATTTTCGATTTTTCTGCCATTACTATAACTTACCCTACGAGAAGATAAAAATAACTAGTGGGGTGTATGGCATCGTGCCTTAAGGCAAATTGCTGGAACTTCCCGTACCGTAACGAAATGTTCGAGGAATACTGAATGTTTTCAAATAGATTATTATTAATATTGTAAGATTGTCTAATATTTATAAGAACTATATAAACTGAATTGCAAAGTTGAAAATATTTGATTAAGGTATATGAGAACTTTAGTCAGAAATAAAAATAAAATCTGAATTATTTCCGACAAAAAAAATGTTGCAACAAAATCAATTATTTTGTTAAAACAAGCAAAACGTTCTTTGAATCATTCAAATCGGACGCTTAGTTCTCTCAAAAACTGCCATTTTTTGCACATTTAGCTCCGTATCACTGAAAATGCTGGACCTGCCTTTGCCAAAAACTAATCACCACTTCTCCCAATCATTATTAATTGAATGTTTTTAGATGATTCAAATCGGCATTTGTGCCTTAAGGCATATTGCTGGAACTTCCCTTACCGTAACGAAATATACGAGGTATATTAAATGTTTTCAAATAGATTATTATAAAGAATGTTACACTGTCTAATATTTATTTATAAGAATTATATAAACTCAGTTGCAAAGTTGAAATTATTTATTTAAAGTAGATTAGAACTTTAGTTAAAATTAAAAAAAAATACAAAAAAAAATTTTGAAAAAAAAATTTAAAACATTTTTTTTCCAAAAGCAATTATTTTGTTGAAACAAGCAGAAAGTTCTTTAAATCATTCAAATCGAACGCTTAGTTCTCTCAAAAACTGCCAGTTTTTGCACATTTAGCTCTGTATCTTCGAAATGGCTGGGCATGCCTTTGCCAAAACTTGATAACCACTTCTCCCAATCATTACTAATTGAATGTTTTTTCAGATAATTCAAATCGGATGCTCCGATCTCTCAAAAACTCGATTTCTATTTTCTGCACTCTTTGCTTCGGCTGGACCTGCCTTTGCCAAAAACTAATCAGCACATCTCCCTATCAATAGGAATCAAATATTTTTTGAACCATTCAAATCGGTTGATTCGTGTTCCCGAAATCGTCGACGAAAATTTGTATCCGCACATACACACACATCCATTTTTTCTGAGGTATACCAAAATTTTCATAAACCTTCAAAACGTTGAGAAATGCAAGAAATTTTCATTTTCGAATTTCGGCCCATTACTATACCTACCCTGCGGGAAGTTAATAAAAAAATTGTACTCACTCATAATAATATGGAAACTAAATCCACCATGAACCACAACACCACTTTTGGTCCTTCACTATACTGGTATTCCTTATTTATTTTATCCTTTTTGTATTTGCATCGTGCACACAATTTATCACACTTCTTTTATATGATAACAAATATTTATCCTTTCTTTCTGTATATAAACAACAAAGAACAGAAGTGCGAGCGAACCGATTTGAACCGAATAATGTTGAAGGAGAGAGTTGTTTTAGTTGTTTTAGTTGTTATTACGACGGTTGCTGAACCACACTGCATACGATGGCGTTTCCAATGAGAAACTCATTTGATTTTAGTGCCGAGAGAGCGGAGAGAATGTGCAATGCAGCTATTGTAGTAGTTGTAGCTTGGTCGGTCGGTACTAAATTAGTACACGACCAATGAGGATGTGGTAGAGGAGAACTCCTAACACTTTGGGGACGGCTGTCCACCTCAGCGGACAAACATACTCTGTGAGGCACATGCTATTTTATAAACTAGCTGTAAGTGGAATTCTGTCTTAAGGCAATTAAGGCATCGTGCCTTAAGGCAAATTGCTGGAACTTCCCGTACCAAAAATTATTTTTTTTTTTTAAAACGATTAACATTTTTGAAAAAAAAATTACTTTGAAAAAATAAGATTTTTGAGAAACTATAAATTGGACAAAAAATTACTTCTTTTTGAAAAAAAATTTTTTGAAAAAAAAATTTTTTTTTAATTTTTTTTTTTGTTTTTTTTTTTAAAAAAAAATTTTTCTTTATTTTCACATATTGTGGAAGATCTGAACTTTTCTCAAAGCAATCGTACTGCTTTAACTGCATAGAGACAAAATATAAAGCGCGTAAGCGCCGCGTCGCTGTCTAACGGGTAAACATTGGTACGGAACTTATAGGAATGTAAACAAAATTCATACTTATTGTTAAAATCTCTATAAAATATCTGATAATTTGATGTGCATATGTCTAATGATCATTTTTGACCGCCAAATGGCTCATTTTTTTACTTTTGCCTCCATATCTCCGAAACCGCTAGACCTACCTTTATGAAAATCTTATCGATTCTTCATCTTGTCAATACAAGTGAAACGTTTCTTGAATTATTCAAATCGGACGCTCCGTTCTCTTAAAAACTGAGTTACCGTTTTCGGCACTTTTTGCCCCGTATCTTCGGAACGGCTAGACCTGCCTTTGCCAAAAACTAATCAGCACGTCTCCTTATCAATACGAATCGAATGTTTTTTGAATTATTCAAATCGGTTGATCCGTGTTCCCGAAATCGTCGACGAAAATTTGTATCCGCACATACATACACACACGTACATACATACACACACACATACACACACACATACACACACACACACACACACACATACATCCATTTTTTCTAAGGTATGCCAAAATGTTCAGAAACCTTTGAAACGTAAAGATATATAAAAATTTTCATTTTCGATTTTTTTGCGATTACTATAACTTGCCCTACGGGAAGTTAACAATGACTCAGTTTGCATCGAAAAGTTGAACAAATTACATATAGCAGTGATAAACAGTGTTGTATTTTGAAAATAATTTTAAGTTATTTGAGTAGTACTTTTAGTCTTTTTCTTTGCTATATGGTCTTTTTTAACTTCCCGTAGGGTAAGTTATTGTAATGGACCGAAAATCGGAATTGAAAATTTTAACATTTATCGACGTTTTGAAGGTTTCTGAACATTTTGGCATACTTCAGAAAAATTGGATGTGTGTGTGTGTGTGTATGTATGTATGGATACAATTTTTCGCCCACGTTTTTGGGCGTACGGATCAACCGATTTTCATGGTTCAAAAAACATTCGATTCCTATTAATAAGGAGATGTGCTGATTAGTTTTTGGCAAAGGCAGGTCCAGCAGTTACGGAGATAAAGAGCAGAGAATGCAGAAAATAGAAATCGAGTTTTTGAGAGAACGAAGCATCCGACTTGAATGATCTAAAAAACATTCAATTAGTAATGATTGAGAGAAGTGGTTATTAGTTTTTCGCAAAGGCAGGTTCAGCCATTTAGGAGATACGGAGCTAAATGTACTAAAAATGGCAGTTTTTGAGAGAACTAAGCGTCCGATTAAATTGATTCAAAAAACTTTCTGCTTGTCTCAACAAAATAATTGATTTTGGAAAAAAAAATTTGTTTCAACTTTTTTTTTTTTTTAATTTTTTGTATTTTGTATTTTAATTTTTTTCTAATATACTTTAAACAAATAATTTCAACTTTGCAATTCAGTTTATGTAATTCTTATAAATATTAGACGCAGTATATACAATTCTATTCATTTTCATTTTCTTTGTACTTCATGAAAATTATATCATATTAAGTAAACATTTTAAATTTCAAGTAAAATTTGACAAATAAAAAATAATTAAGTATTTACAGTCACATTTTAATTAATATAATCAGTCTCATTTGTTGAAATTAATTTATTGGGAAATGCTAATGTTAAAATATTTTTTTGAATTATTTGATTATTGTATTATTTAATTATTATATATTAATAATTAATATATAATAGATATAATGTATTATTAATTAATTATAATATATTTCAGAAATTACGTTTTTATTTCAACACGGTATGTTTTTGCACATGATGGTTCGAATATGGTTTCGAATATGGTTCAATATGGTTCGAAATTCTATTAAAAGTTTCAAATCATTGATCAACTTTTATTGATTATTATTGATTATTTTTAATTACTCAAATTTTGAATTGCGGTACGGGAAGTTCCAGCAATTTGCCTCAAGGCACGATGCCCTAATTGCCTTAAGACAGAATTCCACTTACAGCTAGTTTAATATTTAAAACGATCGAGCGCTTTTAAATATGACAAAACGACTGGTAAATTTTGTGAATTAAGCAGTAGTAAAGATGAGTTTCAAATAGACGTTCATACAAACAAATTTTACGAAATTACTATTCGCACCTTAGATAGTGATGAATGTTTTATTTATTTATTTATTATATTACAGCAATCAGAACAGTAATTACATTCTATGAGCTGTTTTGTTTATGTATTTAAACTAAAATGAATAAACTAAATAAGAATAAATAAAGATAATAACATAAAAATAGTAACTAATAATAATAATAATATATAATAATAGTAAATAATAAACTAATATAATAATACTGCAAAAAAAATTAAATTAATTAACATATTTTGAGGATTCCAAGTGATGAATGTGATGATATTATCCAACCAACAAAAATAAGAAAAAGTTCGATAAAATAAATGAAGAGCGGGAAGACATTAGCGAATGTGCCGATTCTCCTTCAATAATCGAGTTTGACATACATCAACAAACACCCCGACCACAAATACCAAGCAATATAAGACATCCAATAGATTATTTTACTTTATATTTTATAAATGAATTATTAGACAATATAATAGAATAAATAAACCATTATGGCAGCAAAAAAAATGACCAAATATACTGACTAATCAGTGGCATATTCTAAATTCTAAAAGAAAAAGGGATTTGTATTGTCTGTTATGACAGAAAAGCACCAGGAGGAAGGCGGCGAACAACATTTTATTGTAAAACATGTCAAAATCAACCAGCTATGCATTTTGGAAATTGTTTCGAACGTCACCATTCTTTATAAAATTATCAAAAATAAATTAATATTATAAATGTATGTCCTCCAATGACCAACTTACACAATGAAATCAAGTTTGCAGCCGGTAAAATAGATTGTTTTGAAATCGGTGCCGTCCCGAAAGTGTGAACTTCCCAAAGGAGAAGTTTATGTTTTCATCAAAAAATCGGATTCGCTAATTTTAGGTTTTCTCCTGCGTTTCAAGCCATTCTGAATCGAATGATACCAATGGAAAAATATAAGTATGTATGTCTGTGTGTGTGCGTGTAAACAGATTTTTCGCCGTAGCCGGCGTTTTCTCAAAAACGGCTGGCCAATTTAAAAAATTTAAAAGCCATTCGATGTATCTCGATGAGGACTAGCGTTGATCAATTTTGCGCGACGATCGGCCAAGCCGTTTCTTTGTAAATAGCAGAAAAATGGGAAAATAAATACATCATATAGCAATTTTGAACTTGTTAACTTCCCGTAGGGTAAGTTATTGTAATGGGCCGAAAATCGGAATTGAAAATTTTTACATTTTTCGACGTTTTGAAGGTTTCTGAACATTTTGGCATACTTCAGAAAAAATGGATGTGTGTGTGTGTGTGTGTGTATGGATGGATACAAATTTTCGCCCACGTTTTCGGGCGTACGGATCAACCGATTTCAATAATTATTCATCCACTGTTCAAATATTATTTTTTCGCTATTTTCAGTTTGTAGATGGTAGTGTGTTTATTTACAATAAATTCTTTAAACACTTTCGATTAGAAAGTTTACACTCCTAAATCTCTCACTTCATGACCAGAAGTACCGCTTGCCCATGGCTTACACAATTACATTTATATACATTTATATATATATATATATATATATATATATATATATATATATATATTGCTATAGCAACTCGAAACATATACAAATCTCGTATTCGTATTCGTATATTTAAATCCATCTAAAAATAACACAGGCACATGTTACATATTATTGATGTCAGTTTCAAAACATTATCCATATGATATTCTCTTATCAGCGTTTATTCGCATATAAGAAAAATAAATGTATTATCTTATCGTTTCAATTGCCATTTTGATACGCAATTTTCTCGTTGTGATATGAAAATATTTCTTGAATATTACTTTAAAACCTATCTGAACCTAACCCAAACTAGCTGTAAGTGGAATTCTGTCTTAAGGCAATTAGGGCATCGTGCCTTAAGGCAAATTGCTGGAACTTCCCGTACCAATTTTTTTTATTTTTTTAAAACAATTAACATTTTTGAAAAAATTTTACTTCGCAAAAATAAGATTTTTGTGAAACTATAAACTGGACAAAGAATTACTTTTTCTTGAAAAAAAAAATTTTTTTTAAAAAAAAAAATTCTAAAAAAAATTAAAAAAAAATTTTTTTTTTTGAAAAAAAAATGTTTTCTTTATTTTGACATATTTTGGAAGATCTGAACTTTTTTTCAAAGCAATCGTACTGCTTTAACTGCATAGAGATAAAATATAAAGCGCGTAGGCGCCGCGTCGCTGTCTAACGGATAAACATTGGCACGGAACCCATAGGAATGTAAACAAA